GTTGGCGTCCATTAGCACCACGAGATGGTCACGGCTGTGAACCTCCCGGATCGCTGCGTCGAGAGCAGTCCAGAAGGAGTCCTTGGCGGTACCATCACCGCCCGCGGTGGTGCGGACAGTTACCGTGGGGGCGTACCCCACCACGAAAGTTACTCCGCAGGTGCGGCCAATTTGTAGACGTACCTTCATCAGCCTCGGGCTAATGCACTCCACCGTCCTACCTTCCTCGCCCACACTCTCCCACATGGCCTCCTTGATCGCTATGCCCACACCGTGTACGCCCCTCTTGTCCTTGGTGCCAGCACGGGCGCCACTCCAGATGATCACGTACCTGTCGTGTGCAATTGAACGTTGCCCCTCTCGTCGGGTCTCCTGAAGTCATATCACGTCACAGCCGGTCGCCGAACAAATCTGCATGACCGTCATCACGTTGTTACCGATGGGGTTCCTACCGCTGTAGGCGAGCGTGCGTACGTTGAACGTACCGAACGATAGGTCGCCCTGTCGTGCCTGCTTCTTCACAGCCGCCTTGACGGCCGCTGCGGTCTCGTGTCTCTCTCGGTCCACCTCGCGTTGCGGGTGTGCTTTCTTCCGTATTTCCCGAGCGGCGAGTTTCCTCGCATCAATCCATCTCTGCAGAGCTCGGTTCTTGCCTGTGGTGTTTTGACGAGGAGGGTGCAGCACTCCCTCCCCGCGGTGCCCGCGGTCGTCTCCCTTCTCCCGCGAGCGGTGCTTACTGACGTGGTGTTTACGAATCTCTCTACTCCTCCAGCTTCGTGGGCCACGCTTTCCGCGACGGTGGTTGCCAGGTGCAGTTTGCCGCTTTGCATTACTGCCGCGGGAACAGTGTCCATACACACCTCTCGCCACTACCACCGTCTGTGCATCCTCACCGCCACGCTGAGCCAGCGCGGCGGTGAGTTGCACCTTGGGACACCACCCGCCTACTATCTGTTGTGTCCTGGTTCGCCCGCGAGGGACTCACTAGGTCGATTTCGGCCCCGGCCGGGGAGCAGGCCGAGGGGAGAGTTCTTAGGTTGTCTATTTATTTTTGCTTATGTTGCTTATGTTTGGCAGCGATGGCATAGAGATTTCTGGCTCTTGGCGGCGGCGTAGTTGGTACCGTTTCGTACAACCATGATACCGGTGGGTGCAATATCTGGTCGTGAGACCGAAGGAGTGGTGGGGGTGGTTAGAGGTACTGGCGCTTGGGGACGGCGGATTTCGTACCATATCGTACGAGCATGCTACCGCTGGGTCGTGATACCCAGGGTTTCTTAAGGCTTGAGGAAGTGGTGTGACAGAGGGATAAGTCTTGCAGTGGAATTCGTACCGATTCGTACGAGCATGCTACCCGTGGGTGCAGGATATGGTCGTGAAACTGAAGGGGTGGTGGGGTGGATAGAGGTACTGGCTCTTGGGGACGACGGATTTCGTACTGTTTCATACGAGCATGCTACCGCCGGGTGCAAGACCTAGTCGTGATACCAAGGGTTGCCTTTGCTTGAAGATGTGACGCGGTAGACGATCTGACAGGCGGTGGATTTTCGAACCGTTTCGTCAAAAAGAGGCCGTACCGCTGTACCGGCGGAGTTGTTCAGTCGATTTCAGAGCTCACGAATTGAGCCTCCTGCCAAACTTGCTGAAAACAGCGGGAGACGTTATCCCTTTCGTCCCTGATACCACGCTCATGATGGAGGACCCCGTTCGGTGGGTGCACTCGTGCACACGTGACTCGACATCAATTATCGGTTAACACACACTTTCGGGCAACCGGAGTCAAAACGCGACGGGGCCTACTCTGTCTGTCTGTCTCTCTCTCGCTCTCTCTCTCTCTCTCTCTCTCTCTCTCTCTCTCTCTCTCTCTCTCT